TAGATGTCGAAGGCTCCAGTTCGCAGGAGCTTGGGGAAAACCCTTCATAGCTTTCAAGGGCTGGATGCTTGGGGTAGAGAAGACCGTTTTGCTGACGGTGACGGAGAAGCATGCATGTGTTCATTTTGTTTGTTTCAGTACAGTGGAAGCTTTGGAACTGGGAACTACGAGTACGAGGTTGGCTTTGTGGATGTTTGCATCAGCGGGATCATTGCCAGCACACAATTTGCATGTGTTTTAGTGACTATACCAGGAGCATCCAATGGGTGTCCTATGGAGATCCCTAAGTAGTGTAGGGTAGTCCATTGGACACCCATTGGATGCTCCTGGTATGTGCAATGTGCAAATTTGATTTGGGTTATTATATATATCTAATTACCCTAGACGTCCGTCCCTTTCTGTTCATACATTGCATTGCTTGACTTGGTTGTGTACTGCAAATTCCTTAGTAAAACAATGGTTGTTCGACTTGTTCGATAAAGCCTATTAACAATACAGAACACGTTGGTGGTGGGAATCTAGGGAGTATATGTCCTCGATACCGCTAGTGAGACTAACAGAGAAGCGCTTGCGCCCCGCACTGTGAGTTGTGTCCCGTGAGACTGATGGTCTTCCGGGGGAAAGACTCGCCGCCCAACACAAGGTCCCACGATTTACATGATAACTTTCGCCCGTCACACGGACCATATAGTAGGATTTCTTCCCATTTTCCAGTACCCAGACATCTATTTCTTCGGCATCATGCACCTGCAGGGCAGCGCTGGTGTCCAGCCCAGAATCCAGTGTAGGCCATATATTCCAGTCAATGACCAGCTTCTCCGTGGGGGACACCGTGACCTCGGTGTTGACCAGCTTCTCCGTCCAGCAGCACCGCCTCCAAAAAGGCTTTGGGTGAGTCACCTGTGGTGGCAGCCGATGTCGGTGTACTCCCTGTTGCAGCAGCCGATGTGGACACCGTGACTTGCTTCCAGGAAGTGCGAAGTGCGAAGGCATGTCGTCATCACAACCATCACAACCGCCGCCACCACCCGCCCGCCGCCACAAGAACAAGCACAACAAACACAATCAGGATCACAACAGCAGCAGCAGCAGCAACAACAAGAACAACGGGAATCGGGAAAGTAACAACCACAAAACAGGAATCAGCTGCTACTGTTGTGTTTCGACATATGTGCAATTTTGTGATGACTACCTATGGTGTGTTTTCAGTCTTTCTTTGTCGCGGGATTGACCTGCAGGGCACTGGATATGTTAAATCAATTAAATCTATGTACTATGTACCACTGCTTCGTTACCATACATGAGCTGTAGATTTTCAACGCTTTGGTAGTGCGGAGAACTTGTGCAAACCTGTAAGATGAGGATATTGGGTGCATAAGTACCTTGTTGGAAGCGTTTCAGGGAGTGTGCCGTGACCCGATGATGCCGTGACCTGATGATATCGCACACACGCATCATGTGTGGCGTTGTGTTCACGTCTTGCGAAACATTGGTGCTTCTTTTTCCCAAGGAAAGGAGCTGATCCATGTGCTGGACTGTGGACCGTGCATCGCCCCACATCGCTGGTTGGATGGCTGTGTGTTGATTACTTGTACTTCACCAACAGAGGTTAAGTGACCTGAACTAGGACCCTACTGGGGTACCTATGGGATAGCCTATAGGGTTCTTCAACCTCTGCTGGTTGTTCTGTTTCCACTGAACATTTGCTGAGGTCAACGGGGTTATAGGGAGGTCCACCCTCTCAGCGGTGCATTCCACGGGCGAACACGGGCGAACACGGGTTTCCATGAGGCGAATGGCTTATCGGTGTGGGGTCATTCACCGGAAAACAACAACAACAACCACAACAACAACAACAACAACACAACATAACTATGCAAATAACTCTATAATAGGCTTCTCGTTTTTCATCGGAACATGAGGGATCTGCTGTGAAGCAATGAGGAGCAAGAGGATCATGTTTGAGGCTTAGTTGGCAGGGGCTTTGTTGGCTTATATTTGTAGCCTCCTATATAATATATAGGATTCTAAAAATTGATCTGATTTCATAGTCTGAAATCCTTAGTAAAACCATGGTTGTTCGGCCAAGACTATTCAATGCTGGTTTGGTTGGCTTGCGGGCATGGTCTTCAAGTCGAAACAAAGGGAGTGCCCCGGCCACCTCGGTCGTGGCTGTGTCCAGTTTTCACGGACTCAGTTGCATATCCAGTGGAATTGGGGCAGATGCCACGTGTCACCCTGGACATCCTTGGACCCTGGTGGTCTGGAGGCTTCCGGGATGGTCTGGGGTCTTTCTCGGCTTTTAGATGACTCCTGGTTGCAACACCTGGGTTTCCTGATTCTTTTTTTCCCAGATGGCCCAGAGGCGGTGATGGCCAAAACGCCGATGCCGCACACCCACCGCGACAAGAAAAGATGGGAATCAGCACAAGCTAGCACCATTTGTCCATTCATATGTGAAAGCGTTGTCGCATGTAGGTCACTGATGTGGCCACTGATGATTCAGAAAATCCAGGTCCCCATTCGAGTCAGCGTTCTCGAAATCTTTTTCAGACCACTCCAGGATCACGCTGGGGGGACGACGCGAGCCAGCATTGTACCCTTGAGAAGTGTACGCGAGGATGCGTGTATACATGCAGACTGGATGCAGGACGCATCCACGAGGCAACCTTGCACTGCTGTCACCTGATGTAAGGCACTTTCGAAGACAAATGACATGTGGTCTTCGATGACATGTGGGTGAAGCTGACAGCATGTGGGCATGTGTTCTGAAGCCTTTTTGTGAGCACCTTTCGAGCTGCTACGTGTGTTTATCATGATGCCGCATGCCATTCTCTTTGGTACTGGGACGCAGACTGTTCCTGAGCTCACAACTCGCCCTCTAGTGGCTCATTTGCTTCAGCTGTTGGGGCAGTCAATGTGATGTTTTCGGGTACGGTATGCTGGCTCCACAAACCAAGGGTTGCAGCGCAACCCTCGAGCGCTGAAAAAGCTTCCGCGCCGCATATGAGATGCGTTTTCCGTGCTGAAAAAGAAACACGCCGCACGATGATCCGGAAAGCAGACCAAGTGGGTCCGAACATGGAGCAGAGTTCGAAAGGTTTTGTGCAGGTGATGGGTGAATTTTCCTGGTTTGTGGGTGAATCCTTCGGGATGGGTAATACCCAGACACTCCATGGGACTGCCATATATGCCGATCAGTTGGGGTGGTGTTTGGGGTCAATGTAGGCATATATTGCATATACATGGAGTGTCTGGGATATGTGGTATGTTTTATCCTGGCTTGAGGACATTTGGGGAGCTTGCTCTTCGGTCCGACCAGGAACATCCTGGGTCCGTTCACATGGCTGGAGGCTCGAAGGTTCCAGGACCTTGAAACATCCGGAGACACCCCAGGGTGCCACCCTGGCTCGACTGGTCCGAACCGCTCCGAACCAGGTCCCCTTCACCCATCCGAACCCCCGGGGGACCGGAGCCCACGCGATGGTGGTGGGGGGGGGGGTCTGGTCTCCCATGGTCTCCCCATGTCTTGAGCAGAATCGAAGAGCACTGGGACTTCTCAGGTCCGGCCTTCAGAAGGACGTCGCCTTCCCGGAGCGCCTGCGCCTGCGGAGATACATGCAGGTTGGGGGGGAAAACGGGTGTTCGACTCGAGGTCGAAGGGCTGAAATGGTGTAATGATAAGCATGTGCTATATATATATATATAGATGTTCTTGTTTCTTTTGTTCGATGTCAATTCGTTTTAGGTGATGTTTCTTGACTTCCCTGCAGTCCCGGCATTCGAAGAGATGCTGTTAGTTGTCGGCCTTCCTTCCGCTGTGCTCCTTCGTTGGGAGCGGTTGAATGGTGACATGACCAGCAGTTCCATGGGTGCCCCTGTCACATCTCCACATGTTCGGCTCGCAAACATCACCAATATATTTGAATGTATTGCAGTAAGTTCATCATATAATATCATATATATATACTATATATATACTGTTATACTGTATAATATATATAGGTCATGAGTCGCTATCCAGACACTCCATGTGTGCCATGTTTGCCTACATTGTGGTGGTTTAACGGAGTCAATGTATAGGCATATATTAAGTGTATATATATATATATCATAAATGGAGTGTTTATAGATCGAATCAGGCTCTTCCAACAGGTTAAAGGTTTGCTGGTGCAGTCACCGTAGAGAGATGCATTTGGCATACTTGTGTGGCTGTGGGAGTGTTTTACGGGAACCAGGTCTTGGGTTTATGAACTATATTGCGTTCAAAGTAACCTAGGCCTATAGATTTACTTTATAATTATATACGGTTGAGGTCAAGAACAATGTTCCTTTCTGCAGACTCTCCTGACCAAGTGCGGGGAGTTGGGCAAAGATTGACCCGCCACGGTTCCGCAAAAGACTGGTCCGCCGCCTGTTATTTACGACCCGCCGCTCGTGTTCCACGTCACGGCAGCTCCTTTGCCGTTTGGTCCAGGACAATCGCAATTGGGACGAATCCGCTTGACCTGGACCTGAGAGGAAAAAAAAGGATGGTGAGGGGCTGCATTTGGAGGGGCGGAGGGCTGCCTATAGGAAGTGCGTGGGAGAAGCTGGAAGTCCCACTCAACAAGAAGAGGTGGACAAAGGGTTATATACTAGGAGTCACAAAGGGGTGCCGAACTTGGAGGAAGCCGGGGTGCCCAGAACATCCACTCACATACTTAGGGACTCAAAACCGCCCCACTCCATGTGACTCACTGGTTGTAACCTGTATCTTCTTGGGGGAAGTTGCGGAGTTCAGACTGAGAAAGTTCCTTGCACATGAGGAAGTTGTTGCGGAGGTAAGGTCTGATGTTCGTGTCCTTGAAGTCGAAGAAAGGACCTTCCGGGTGGAGAGGAGGTTTTCTTCTTCTTTGGATCGTTGGAACCCTTCCTGGTCTCCAGTGAAGCTGGTCGTGGTGATGGGATCCCCCCCTGGGTTCTTTCCTTTGGGTGCCAAAGAAGATAATGTTTAAGTCATGATCCAAAGCCTCCTTCAAATAGAGGGCGTCTTTGGAGGGGGTAGCTTCACCTACTTAGGCAGCTCGCTGGATGTTTTAAGCGTTATGTTCAATCCGCGCACATTGATAGTGTGCAGACATGTTCGGCAGAGATTCCCTCCTCGTGTGTGGTACAGTGTAGGTCTTCCACGCTTCGATCGAAAAGGCGGAGAGCTGCGTTTAGACGCTCAAGCACTTTCTTGGCCCACTTCATCTCGTGTGTGGTCGGTGCTTTCTGCAGCACAGCTGCGTTTTTCAGGCTTTGGACTTGGATCCAAATTGAATCTTGACGCTTGCTTGGATCCAAGAGTTGCTGCACTGTACTCAATATAGTCGGCTAATCCATGACAGCTGCTTGGATCCAGATGTGTCTCAAGAATCTCAAGATCTACCTATATCATTATTTACCTGGACTCGATTGCACGCGTACCCTGTCAAATGAGACATGACCCTATCAACTAAGCATGCAGGTACATGTACAGGTCCAGTCTGACCCAGTAACTTCTGAAAACCAGAGAGGTCCAGAGTACGTATAGTGGTTTCAGAATAGATGGCACAATCCCCAAGTCAGGTGGTTTATATGGAATCCCCATCTGTCTAAGACATCTTCGGGTGCCAGTGCCGACCTAAAAACCACTGTAACTCTTTTTTGGGCTTCAGACTCTGCATGACCAACCGGTCTCGTCGAAGAAAACCCCGTCGGCGGTGGACACACCTCCAGGCACGCGCTTTTGTGCGTGCAAGTGAGCCGAAGGACAAGGACACGGTGGTCGCATTGGCATTCGAGATGTAGCAGTTGACTGTGCAACAAGGTGGGTTTGTATTTCAATAAAGGTGGTCTCCTACCCTTGAAAATCGTTGATTGATATATAACTTATTATGAAAATATGTGATATAACTTATCAAAATATGTGATGTTTCAATGTAGATGATGTATGCCAGCACCCAAAAGAAAAAACAAAAAAGTTCTCCGAAATGGATGCTTTTCAAGACCTCAATAGATGCAGCTGGTGGGGAGACCACCTGGCCCAATCGGTACTCTGGTCTATTTTCCGATTACAGGGGGTCGGAACGCCTGGGAGGCACCCACATTGCCTAGCCTGCCTAGCCTTCAAAGGCCGGTTTGATTTTCCTGATCCACAGGTGAACTAGGAGCTGAACCGCTGCATCCACCACTGGTTGATATGTTTTTTCCTCCTGCAAGACGTACTGTAATCCCCACGAAAATGCGCCGCGAGTTCTAGACTAGGACAGATTCTCACCCAAAATGGCATGGAAAGGTGCAAGTGACCTGTTACAGGCCCGATTGTTACTTCAAACCAGCCACTTTGAAGAACCAGGTATGGGACAAAGCATGTTGAATATGTTCCAAAGTTGTTCCTGCGAGGATCATTTGTCCTGGGTGTGCTGTTTGGAGGTCCATATGTAGAGTAGAGTAGTCTATTGGACACCCGGATCGACTCAAATCCTACCTAACGCTACCAATGGATGTCCAATGGTGACCTATAAGCAGTGTAGGGTTGTCCATTGGTAATCCCTTGGAAGCAGCTGGTACTGTTTGATTTTAGTTACCCTGACGCCCCAAGGGCGGGTGGATGGAAGATCCACACCTGCATCGCGCGGAGACGCGAGAAGTCCTTTTCTTTGCAAGATGGGTTCAGTGAAGGTGCTGTGCACAGGTTCAGAAGAATTTGGGCTGTACCAAAGGCTTTCTATCAACTCTTAGGTAGGCTGTTCATATGGGCTCAATAAATGTTGGACCTGTGTGCCATCTACTCTCAATCCATTATAGGAAGTCTACTCTCGAGTCATCGATTCGGATGGTTAGGGTTTAGGGCACTGGGCCCTGAGAAATGCGTTCCTTCGGAAGGGATTTCGCTGCCAAGAAGGTTTGCAGAAGCAAAACTTGTTCAGCCATGTCGACGTCGGACACCTGTTTAGCCATGTCTCCGCTACTTCCAGCTGTTCCTTTCTCTTCAGGAGATGCCTGATGTGCTGAGCAGTCCGGATATCGGAGAGGCGGGCGGGCTGCAGGGCGGGCTGCAGGGCGGCATGGAAGTGGGACGGACCTGCATGGAAGTGGAATGGAGGCAGCCAGTCGCTGCCTCCGTGGACTTGCGGTGCAGTCCGTCTTTCTGCTACCTGCTGTCTCTCTCACAGTGCGGTCGGCAAGGCAGATCAACGAGGTGAGTTTAGTGAGACGTGAACCTTCCTGGTGTGGGCCGTTCGAAGGTGCTTGGGGTGGAACGTCTAAGTACCTTCTAGGAAGGTCTGTGGAGCGCTAGGGCTTGATTTTTCCAGGAATCTGAGCGTGATGACTTTTTGCTTGGCCACAGCATTGGATCAGAGCCACAGGGTGTGTCCCATCAGACTCCTTTGTCTAGGGTGTGTCCCATTACCAGTAACAGTCGGTGTTGCTAAGGGGTACGGTATGTGTATGTTCCCCGTGGATGAATCCCCTCAGGAATATGCTGTATAAATTTTGGAGGGCCATTTGTTGGTGATTTGCTTGTGCTGTGTTTAGGGATATGTTGAGGATTTGCTTCTTGTTGCTTTTCTGGCTGTTCATTGCTTCTCTATGATTTATCCTGCTTATATATATATATATATCATCTTGCTTTTCTGTGCTTGTCTTTTTTTTTGCTGTTCATTGCTTCTTTGCGGTTGCTCCTGTTTTCTTGCTTTTCCTGCTTCTATCCCGCTGGTCTTGCTCTTCCTGGCTTTTCTCCTCCTTTGATTTCTTTCCTGCGTCTTGTCCTCTTGTGACGTATTGCTTCCCTGTTTTGACTGGTTTTGCTTTCTATGACTTTTGTTGCTCTCGCTTTTGTTGGTTGCTGTTCAAGCCTTGAGCTTGTGTTGCTTTATGTGTTTTCGCCGTTTTTGTTATTCTTATTTCTGGCGTTCTATACTTTTCATACTCTTGTTGTTTGTTTCTCCTCTACTGGTTGTTGTGTTTTGGTTCACCTTAAGGGACAACCCAAGTGCATCATTGTGACCAAAACTCGTTCATTCTTTACTCCCTTCTCGATCGTGATGCTCTTGCCTCATGTTTTTGCGCGCCCGGCGCGGGAAACCGGAGTATGGCCGGTTTGTGGCTGTTTTGGTCTTGTGGCCCGGTCGGCGACTGGTATATTTTTGGGCACAGGCCCGGTCAGACGCCCTGAAAGGCCGTGAATGATGGATATGGAAAATGGCCTCCTGTACAGTTTACAGTCATTCCTGAGTTATTTCTTCTACAAAAAACTGTGCCTCTGCTTGGTCTCGAGTGTAGAGATCGATGGATCTAGACTCTAGAACCATCTGGCTGAACCAATGACCCGCCCCATAAGGCCCTACTCTTTGTAGCTCTTTGGAGTATCACTGAGGATCGCCATTTATCATTTATCTATATATTGATCCCGAACACATTGCCTTTTTTTCTGATCAAAACAGAGACCATGTTTGGGTTCCAGGTACAAGAAAGTCTTGTTTGGTGTTGCTTATTCATAAAACAACCCAAAGTCATCCCCACAAGACTTGTTTGGCATCATTGCATCCGGAAATCATTTGGCCCTGCGGGAGCCAGCGGAGACCCCATGGATTGAGCACAAATTCTGTGTAGATGACCCCGCAGTCAGATGTTGCTGAGATGTTTGTTGCAAGCCGTAGCTTCTTCAACCTGACTTGGAGTCCCTGAATGACCTCAAATCAAGGGACAAAACTGATCACTTTGAGGAACTAGATCCTTTCAGAGGGGATCCATTCATGTGGGCGTGTAGTAAAATAGGAAGACCTCCCAGTTCGACTCAGTGGAAGAAGGGACATACACCAACCCCATTGCGCCAGGGGGGTCTACCCATTTAGAATATAACTCTCTTATGACTCATGTGACTCATAATTGTCCAAACGCATTGGCAGGTGGAGAACATCATCTCCAGTGTCGCCCAGAAGTGTCCGCAGGACCGAAGATCAGACTTGTTTGGATGTGATCATGATTCAGACCTTCCCTAAGGATCCGGGTGTTAGTACACTTATTGGTACACCTAAGAAAGGATTTGTTTGGCTGTCTTCCAATAAGATACACTTATTGGTCCTTCTATACACGTTTATCGCAGGGCCCCCCACCCCCTGCGATCTGGAGGCTTCGACCTGCTGCGATCTGCGGTCGGGCGCGAGGATCATTCTCATCACGTGTCGGTCGCACCCCCGTGTCGTGAAAAAGCGCACACTGACTGCACACTCTTCAGATGGGCCAAACCACTGGGTAAACTTGACACGGGACCTTTGCAGAACTGCTACTGTACCACCCAAGAACGAGGTCTGTGGGGATGTGTTTTGATTTTGAGACAGTAGAAAGGATTCGTGATAAGGAGCCTTGCTTTGGTAGTGGAAAAGGCTAAAGGAGTTTCATTTGACATGAACGGCCACGGCAGAGCCCGCACAAAAATAATGCCAGTCGCCTGCCAGTAAAGACAAGACCTCCAACCGCCAAAGAAAACACATGGATGGCATGACCCCGAAAGATTGCCATATTCCCAATACCACTCAGGTGGTGAACTCCACTTCCATGATTTTTCCAGGTAGTGTAACTTCAGAAAGGGGAATGATTGAAACCTATTGCCTTTTTCGGCCTTGGTTGGTTGATCAATGGGGATTTGCCATTTGAAGGACCAAATTCAGCATTTGGTACCTGGCCTTTGAAGCACCAATAAGTGTATAGCAGGGAGTCCCAGTGTTTTGCTGCTTTTGTCCAAGGCTGTGGTGTTGAAAAATGTGTATTCTGAACCTTGTGTTTCCAGCACCTTTGATTTGGCAGCCCCTTGCGGTCATCCGATGCACGATCCATGTCCAGGAAGCAGATGTGCTGGGTGGGAGTCCTGTGGTGGATCTCTCCGAGGTGGACTCTGATGGGGGAACTCAAGAAAGCTGCCTAAACTGACTCAAGCCAAGCTACAAGTAGTTCCCGGGCAAGCCGGCGGCGGAAGTTTCCAAAAGAATAAACCTATAGGAAATGGGCATGTGGCAGGCTGACTCGCCGAGCTGCGATGTTCTTTGACAAAACAAGTTGGAACCGACCAATGGAGCGAAAGCGAAGCAACCACCGTCAACTGTCTCGCAGGAAAAACCGTTGTTCATGCATTTTTGCAAAATACCGAATAGAGATGACTCAGCCGCGTACTAAAGTAGTACTACAAAGTCGCCAGTTCTCAGCTTCCAGCTCCACGGCTTGCTCCGCGTACTAGAGTTGTACTACAAAGTCGCCAGTTCTCAGCTTCCAGCTCCACAGATACTCCGCGTACTACACTTGTACTACAAAGTGGCCAGTTCTCAGCTTCCAGCTCCACAGGTTGTTCCGCGTGCTAAAGTTGTACTAGAAAGTCGCCAGTCAGTTCTCATCTTCCAGCTTGCCAGATGCTCCGCGTACTGCAGTTGTACTACACAGTCGCCAGTTCTCAGCTTCTAGCTGCACAGATTGCTCCGCGTACTAAAGTTGTACTACAAAGTCGCCAGTTCTCAGCTTCCAGCTCTACAGATTGCTCCGCGTACTAAAGTTGTACTAGAAAGTCGCCAGTTCTCGGCTTCCAGCTCTACAGATTGCTCCGCGTACTAAAGTTGTACTAGAAAGTCGCCAGTTCTCAGCTTCCAGCTCCACAGATACTCCGCGTACTGCAGTTGTACTACAAAGGCGCCAGTTCTCAGCTTCCAGCTCTACAGATTGCTCCGCGTACTACAGTTGTACTAGCAAGTCGCCAGTTCTCACCATCCAGCTCCACAGATACTCCGCGTACTAAAGTTGTACTACGAAGTCGCCAGTTCTCAGCTTCCGGCTCTACAGATTGCTCCGCGTACTAAAGTTGTACTAGAAAGTCGCCAGTTCTCACCATCCAGCTCCACAGATACTCCGCATAGTAAAGTTGTACTACAAAGTTGCCAGTTCTCCTCGTCCAGCTCGCCAGATACTCCGTGTACTAAAGTTGTACTACGAAGTCGCCAGTTCTCAGCTTCCAGCTCCCCAGATGCTGTGCCTGCCACGAAATCTGCACATGGAGGTTCACAAAGTGCTGCGCCTGCCACGAAATCTGCACATGGAGGTTCACAAAGTGCTGCACCTGCCACGAAATCTGCGCATGGAGGTTCACAAAGTGCTGTGCCTGCCACGAAATCTGCACATGG